ACAGGTGCACTCTATTTAGTCATTAGCACTCATCAGGCAATGTCTATGTGCAACTGACTGCACTTAGACCAAAGGGGGGCGAATACTTTTGCAAGCCACTGTAATATCTTGCGTCTAAGCAGCTGGGCGTCTTCAGTTCAGTCCTTGTGCCTGAACATTTTCAGATGTTTGTTTAAGCCACTTGACCTGTCAGTCATTCAAGTATAAAAAAGGTGACTAACTCAATGCATGACCCAGTGTTTCTACACATAGCAGACTTGGAAATGAACCAGAACAGATTATTTAGTTGAATCTGTGAAAAATGACAATAAAAACATAGTTTGATAGACATAAAATGGTATGTGTTAGGACAAAAAAATAAATAAATCTACTGCAGACAAAAAGTATAATGAAAGGCATGCTGTTAAGAAAAAGATTTTTTTTTCTTTTCTTTTTTTTAAATCCAACAAGAGCTGACACAAGACATAAGAGCTGACCCTCATCATCTGACGCTTCAGTTGATCCATCAGAAATAGTCTTAGTGGAAGGGTGGCCGACAAGAAGCCATTCTTCAGGAAGCAGTATGTTCAAAAAAGTCAGGAGAGGGTCCCACTGTGTTTACAGACATCTGTAAGACACTGTGGAGACTGGAGCCTACCCCGGCTACCCGTGAGAGGCAGCTAGGCTTTTACAGGGCTAACATGCAGAGACAACCATTCACACTCACACCTGTAACTCATGCAAACATGGGGAGAATGTGCAAACTCCACACAGATAGTGGAGTTGAACTCAGGACCTTCTGAACCACTGTGCTGCTATATTTGTCACCATGACAATGATCCTAAACACACTGCCAAAAGCAAATCTGATGGAAAACCACACGGTGGAACACTATCAGTCATGGATTGGCCTCCCCAGAGCCCGGGCCATAACATTATGGAAGTAGTGTGGAATCATCTTGACAGAAAACAGAACAAAAGACAGCCAACATCCAAAGAAGAGCTTTGAATGTCCTTCAAGAAGCCTGGAGAACTATTCCTCATGACTAGTTAACGTAATTACTAGAGAGCTGCCAAAGAGGGTTTAGTCTGTGTTGAAGAATAAAGGTGGTGATACAAAATTTTGACTTTGGTATATTAGAACCTGTACAAACAGTTGTTGACTCATGCTGTATTTTCCTGTGTGTCACAGGAAAAGTGTTTCACATTTGAATAACATCCTGCACCTGTTGATAACATAGATAAGATAAAGCTTTATTAGTCCCACACATGGGAAATTTGTTGTGTCACAGCAGAACAACACAAATGGAAAAAAAAGTATAGGAGAAGGTAAAAGAATAACAAACTATATGCAATAGAATAAAATACTACGAGGTGGCCCGAGACTTTTGCACAGCACTTTTGATCTGTATTTGACATAAAAATAAATTAAGAGACTTCAGTTCTTTGTGTAGATTTTATTGTGAGGGATGGCTTTTGTTTTTGTTTTTTTTTTGTTTGTTTGTTTTGAATAACCAGCCCATTGCTCTGGTGAACAGCCATATAGCTAGCATACTTTCTTCTCAGTTAAAACTGGACAAGACCCTTAGTACACAGTCTCACTGCGTGCTTCCCTTTTTCGTTCTAGGGTGCGGGTCCACCTGCACAGTATCCAGCTGGAGGCTCTTCCACAAACCCCTTCTTATAGCGGTCCATCATGTCAGCTGCACTACAGGGTCAACAACTGGCACGCTTGCACCTATTGCACTGTTTTTGTTTCACAAGTAGCTTTAAAAACACAATGTTTGTAAGAATTTGTATTTTCTATCGCAGTTTGTCATAAATGGAACAATATGCGACACAGTCGTGCTGACACTGTCGAAGGCTACAAAACAGTGATGGTGTGTGCAGAGGGGGAGGTCGATGC